AATCTGTAGATCTTGTTCACTGCTCACACTAGGCAAGACTCTAAATCAGTGGGAAACTGATGGATCTGACTACTGCTAGAGAGGTTAGAAACATGAAGCAGTACAAAGCACAAAACATATAGCTGTCTACAGCTGCAGTTCCAGTTGTCACTGATGTTCTAGTAAACATAGAAGCTGGACTGCTAAAATTTTCTATAGCTCAGATGGAAACTCCAGCTCTAGCCTTCAGAGATATTGGTGATGTGGCTACCTTTGAGGCTTTGTTTTGCTTTGTTTTTACATAGACTAACTTGGGAACATCTGCAGGGATGGACAAATGCACTTGAAAAAGGGAGGCAGAGCTACTGTTCTAGTGATACAAACCCCAACTTTGACCCTGAATGAATCTGAGTGTGAGCATAGGCTCATGTGAATATAACAGTTGAATCTCTTCCTTTGATACCGATACAACTGTTGGAGCTGTCTCTACTCAAAAACACCAAATAAACAGAGAAACAACTGCAAGAGGCTCAAACACCCAGTAGTGTCTCAGGGGAAGAGGCAATTTTTAACTATTTTACTGTGCTCAGATGCATGCCCAGTTGGTTTTTCAGTGCTGCTGTCTGGCCTACCAAAAACTTTCTTCTGAAACTGTTTAAAAAATCTAGTTCAGGACTCAGAAGTTTTGCTGCAAGGGTGGCTGGGACCATGGATAGTAGGCAGTGAAGAGTGTCTTGCAAGCTTATCATCATGGAATCATAGAAAATTAGGTTTGGAAGGGACCTCATGAGGTCATCTAGGCCAACCTCCTGCTCAAAGCAGGACCATCCCCAACTAGATCACCCCAGCAAAAGCTTTGTTTAGCTGGGTCTTGAAAACCTTCAAGGATGGAGATCCCACCACCTCTCTGGGTAACTGGTCCAGGGTTTTACTGTTCTCCTAGTGAGAAAATTCTTCATAATATGTAACCTAAACTTCCCTTGCTGCAACTTGAGACGATTGCTCCTTGCTCTGTCATCTGCCACCACTAAGAACAGTCTAGCTCAATCCTCTTTCAAACCTCCCTTCAAGTAGGTGAGGGCTGCTATTAAACCCCCTTTCAGTAGCCTCTTCTCTAGACTAAATAAGCTCAGTTCCCTCAGCTTATCCTCATAAGTCATGTGCCCCAGCCCCCTCATCATTTTTATTGCCCTCTGCTGGACTCTCTCCAATTTGTCCACATCCTTTCTGTAGTGGGGGGGCTCGAAACTGATACACGATACTCCAGATGTGGCCTCACCAGTGCTGAATAGAGGGGAATAATCACTTCCCTTGACCTGCTGGCTGCAATCCTACTGATGCAGCCCAGTATGCCATTAACCTTCTTTGCAACAAGAGCACACTGTTGGCTCATATTCAGCTTATTGTCCACTGTAACCCCCAGGTCCTTATCTGCAGAGCTGCTGCCCAGCCATCCAGCCCCCAGCCTGTACTGGTGCATGGGATTGTTCTGTCCTAAATGCAGGACTTTGCACTTGTCCTTGTTGTACCTCATGAGATTTCTTTTAGCCAATCTTCCAATTTGTCTAGGTCACTCTGAATCCTAGCTCTACCCTCCAGTGTATCTACTAGTCCCCCCAGCTTGGTGTCGTATGCCATCTTTCAAGTCATTGATAAAGATATTGAACAAAACTGGCCCCGGGACTGACCCTGGGACGCTCCACTTGATAATGGTTGCCAACTAGACATCGAGCCATAGATAGCTACCCTCTGAACCCAACGCTCTATCCAGTTTGCTGTCCACCTTACAGTCCATTCATCCAGCCCGTACTTTAAAGTACAGCCAGTTCTCCTGGACTCCTCTCCCCCTTCAGACTGGCTTTTCAAGGGATCTTGCCCTTGAGTTCCCTCAGCAAGTTGAAGTCTGTTTTTCCAGGTCCTTAGTCTGCTGGGGCTTTTCTCAGGATCCTGAACTCAATCATCTCATGGTCACTGCTGCCCAAGTTGCCATCCACTACTACGTCCCCCCCACCAATTCTACTCTGTTTGTAAGCAGTAGGTCAAGTAAAGCATGGCCCCTAGTTGGCCACTCCACCACTTGCACCAGGAAGTTGTCCACAACACTCTCCAGAAACTTCCTAGATTGCCTGTTACCCTGCTGTATTACCCTCTCAGCAGATGTCAAGGTGATTGAAGTCTCCTATGAGAACCAGGGCTTGTGATTGGGAAATTTCCACTAGCTGTTTGCAGAAAGCCTCATCTACCTCTTCCTCCTGGTCTGGTGGTCTATGGGAGACATCCACCACAATATCACTCTTGTTGCTCTCCCCTCTAACCTTAACTCAGAGACTTGCAACAGGCCTATCTACCGCTTCATACTGGAGCTCAGCGCAATCATATGGCTCTTTTACATAAAATGCAACTCCTCCACCTCTTCCTCCCTTCCTGTTCTTCCTGGACAGTTTGAACTCATCCATGACAGTGCTCCAGTTATGCAAACTATCCCACCAAGTCTCTGTTATTCCAGTCGTGTCACAGTGTTGTGACTGTGCAAGGACTTGCAGTTCTTCCTGCTTGTTTCCCAGGCTCCATGCATTTGTGTACAGGCACCTGAGGTAGCTAGTTGATTGCCCTGATTTTTCTGGAAGTATGAGAACACCTCCCCTGTTGCCCTGTCCTACTCACTCTTCCTCTAGGTTTCCCACTTTCCCATTTACCTCAGGGCTTTGGTCTCTATCCCTCAGTGAACCTAGTTTTAAAGCTCTCCTCACTAGGTTAGCGAGCCTGTCTGCAAAGATGCTGTTTCCTCTCTTCGTCAGTTGGATCCCATCTCTTCCTAGAAATCCTTCTTGAAACAACATCCCATGGTTGAAGAAGCCCATATCCCTGCTGGAAACACCACCTGCGCAGCCAGGTATTGATTCGCAGGATGCACCTGTTCATGCCTGCCTGGCCCCATCCCTTGCCTAGAAGGATCAAAGAGAACATGACCTGAGCCCCAGACCCCTTCACCCTTGCACCCAGAGCCCTGTAGTCACTTTTGATCCACTCAGGGTATCCCCTGGCAGTATCATTGCTGTCCACATGGATGAGCAGCATGGGGTAGTAATCAAAGGGCTGGATGAGTCTTGGTAATCCCTCCATGACATCTCGGATCTGGGCTCTGGGCAAGCAGCAGACTTCCCAAGACAACAGAAGACTTGTAAAACGTTTAAAAATTACTATGAAAATTTTTAACTTTAGTGATTTTAAATTAGAGGAGAAATGCATGTACCGGTTAGCTGTTCTGATAGTTTTCTTTATGCCTGAGCATTTTATGTTACCATTTTTTCTGATTTACATTGTGCATTACATAAAAGAACACTAATTACTATATTGACAGGTTGAATAACCATCTTTTTCCCCTAATTTTCTTAAAAATTAATAGTAACAGTAAAATTTTGGGTTAGATAAGAAATGAGATCTGTGATTTTTGCCTTGCCTGTCTGTCTGTGGTATGGACTACTTTTCTTAATAGAATACTGTATATGTTACAAAATTAAAATAAAATTTCTGGTGTCCAGTTGTCAAAAGCCTTATTGCCATAATGTTCAGCTATCACAAGAGATAGTATTGATGGTGATGGTAAGAGAGAGATCCATGTTTGGGTAAAGTGGTGCAGATGCATCCCCCTTTGATTCCTGCTTCACCCTAACTTCCTGTTCAGGCAGTGCTGAGGGAGTCATTGACTTCATGGCTGATTCCACCAGGTTTGTTAACCCTCTGGTCTTTTTAATGGTTGTAATGTTCCGCTATTCAAATTATGCTTTCTTCTGTAATTTTGTTGTCTGTTAACCATTCCTGGAAATGTTTCTCTTCTATTTCTCAGCCCCACAGACTGTTTTTAGCTCTGGCTAAAAAACTTAACTCAGATGTGGTCCTATTAACTCAAGTATAGAAATGACTGACAGTGAAGTATTGGAGGAACTATCAAAATGTTGAAGACAGCTAGATTTTGTTTTATGACTCTGAAGAGATGTCCATGCAACTAGAATGACTACAGGACTAATGACACAAATGTTTTTGACTGTTTTTTGCTTAGTTGTATTTTTTTTAAATTTTATATATAAAATGTAGCAAATTAGAGATTTGATTTTGAACTGAATAATATAGTGCTGGACCCCTATGGTATTAGCAAAGCTTGTCAAATCTCTTTAACTGGACAAAAATGAGCTGTGTTATATATCTGTGCCCCCTTTTCAAAATCCTGGATCCACCCACACTGATGGTCTTTTCTTCCTTGGTGGTCAAAGGCCTTGGTGGTCAGGAACAACTAAAAGATACTGCCATGTCTCAGTGCTGTTTATATAGGGTACATCTGCACAGAAAAATGCAGTGCCATGCCAAGACAATTGAGCAAAAGCTGGACAAGCTACCTGAGAAGTAACATGTTTAACTGTGGCACACCACCAGATTAATTAGCCCCAGTGAGAAAGGAATAATCTTATTTCTAGGCTATTTTCCCAAATGGTTGTCTGGTTCTTGCTTATCTGGGAAAACCACGGTGAAGTGGGGAAAATAGGGAACTTGAATGGTTGTCCAGTGCGCAGGACAATGGATAGTACCACTGAGGGAACAGTGATTAATTTTAGGTGTCTGAAGGGCCTACAGTATTTGATAAGAAACCAGCTTGGTAGTTTTGTGCTAATGCCTTTGTTTCATCTAAAGTGCCTGAAAATAATATTTCAATGTTACCGCTTACAGATGGCTGATTGTATACCTTGAAGCCTGTGTTTTCTGCTTTTCTGATCATAGCTAAATTAAATAAAGTCCCAGTCTTGCTACCTGTCCATTTTTCTGGAACTCCAGTTGACTTCAAGGAGAGTCCCTCTCATGGAGGGCTTGCAGGATTATGCCCTAAATAAATAAAGATTGGCCTTATATAAACTAACAGCAGCCTGGAGCACATTTTGACTAACATCACTTACAGCCTGGAGATGTGGTGGCACTTTTTCCTTTCCCCATTTATATCTGGAACTCCATTTAACTTTGCTCTGTACTAGTCAAAAACCAACATGCGAAGATAGTGAAACTACCCCAGACATCATCCTTCGCAAAGAAAACCCCTTCATGATACAAGGGAAGGATTCTGGATCAGAAGATGAAATGGTGTGCAGACTTCCTGACCTAGAAAAAGATGACTTTGCTGCTCGGAGAGCAAGAATGAATCAGCCCAAGCTTACAGTGCCCTTTAATCAGTTTTTATATGGACCCTATACAAATAAAGATAAAGGTAAACTGGAAGATGTTAAAAAGTCATCTCAGAAGGAAAAACAGGAATATGCAAGGTGTGCACATACTACCTTCTCTCTATTGTAGCAATTAATCCTATTTGAAATTGCTTGTTAACTGTGACAAATTTGGCCCATAACTTCAATAATGGGGCAGGGAAATAAGCATCAATAAAATCAACACAAGTGTAATGTATATTAAGAAACAACAGAAAACCAAAAACCTCTTCTGTGTTTGCTATCTACAGTATATGAGAACCAGAAAATGAAATTAGGTAGGAACTAAATATAAACAAAAGGAAATAAATAACTCACTTTCATTGTCAGAGCCAAGAGAAATCTACCAAAGGACAATATAAATAGTGATAAGTAAATTCAGAATTTATATGTCTTAAGGCCATTTTTATTATATGTGATTTTTTTTATCTTGCCGCCTTTTTTAATACTCTGTGGGGGGTGGGGAAGGTCCCAATTCTGCCACTGGTTAAGTTTGTGCTGCACCCTCTGAACCAAGTAAGGTTGAGCCCATATAACAAACTAGCCAGTTGCCCACTGACTCCCCCAACCTCTGTCTGCTCCTCAGTGCAGCTTCGGAATCATGGTGGCACTCCCCCACGCTTGGAGCACTTTGATTGGCTGTTTCCATCAGCCAATCAGAGTGCAAATAAAGTGTTATGGACAGGCAGACAGACAGACTGACTGACTTAGGCTTTGATAATATTAGAATAGAAAACATTTAACATTATTTTAGGAATGGATAGACAGAAAATAGCCTGACTGGCTCAAACCTAATAATTCTCCACATATTCTAATTCTACATACGCTGTTTTAAAAAAAGCTAAGCATGCTATACCAGTTTCTGTTAGACAGTCATCTTCTGTAGAACATATGCATATCTGTTTTATTTCATCGTACACTGTGAAGCCAATATAGATGCATAGGTACGGTGTGTATACTATCATCTTTTCATTTGCATATATTTATACTCAACTTCCATATTGGTATTTAGTCCTAAATTTGAATTACTATAGGTAGTAGTTGGAGAGTCTAGTAAGAAAATGTCTACCAAAGGTGTTCACACTGTTAATAATCTCTAGTAGTTTAAGTTGTTTTCAGTCACATAAAATGTGCCTTCTAGTCAGTAACAATACAGTCTGTTGCCACTTATAGAGATTAGTTCGACATGTAAGTAACATTTTGGAAGGATATCTGGAGAGCATAGAGCATTGGATACAAAGACTTGGAATCTTGCAAAGGTTATAGATGTTAGTACTAGTTAAAAGAAAAAAAAATCAGCCCTGGCATGCTTAGAAACATAAAATGAGAATTGGGTACTGTAACCGCATAAAGGAAATCTCATTACTGTATGAAATATCTTTGTAGTAACTGTGGATTTTCTGGGAAAAGCTAGAAGCTATAATCATGCAGTGTGTCCACAGGATAGCCTGGATGAAACAGTCCCAGATTCAACTGATTCCACGTTTGCCTAAAAAAATAAATAAGCTGTCTACTTTAGTCATCATTTCAATTAATGTTTTTATGCTCTGAACTTCCATTATTGACACTCCATTTATCATTGTCTACTTCCTCAAAATGGCTTCTCTTGCTGTTTTGGAATGTGCATAAAATTAGAGGAAACCAGATACATATGACACCAGCGAGGCAAATTGTGACACGTAAAGAGAACCTATTCCTGCAATGTAAGGACAATGAGTCAGAGGAAGAAGAGCAGGTGAAAATGCCTGATATTCAGAGAGATGACCTGACTAAACAGAAAACTCAAAGTAACCTTTCTCAGCAGCAAGAGTCTCCAGTGTTTATGAAAGCCTCTATAACACAAGCTGATTTGGAGACATGGGACAGACTGAAAATGTCAGGAGAGACCAGGTATGTTCTTTTCTATGGGTTGAATAGCAGCATGGAAAATATGTTAATTTTATTTGAGTCTCTCTTATCTTGAATATGCCATTGTTTCAACCTGTGTTTTCAGGTAGTGTTGAAAATTCAAAAACAGTTGTGTATATGCAGAATTAGGGAAAGCACTTAACCAAAGGTGTGTTTATACAGGGAAATGGTTGAAAATAAGCCAGAGTGTGCATTTAAAGAGCTGTAGTTCTGCTGTGTTAGGTCCCTGTGTGAACAATCAGAGTGAAGAATAAGAAAATGCCTTTTTGGTAGTTCGGAAATAGGTTGATCTGAAGTAGGCTAAGATAAACTGCCCAAAGACACTAAGTATGTGCATAGGGCAGAAGAGCAATTGTTGTGGAATTTCCTTATGTAGACAAGCTCTAACACATGCAGGCAATTCAAGATGCAAATAGCAAGTGGTATGAATGCCTCACTTGCCTACTTTGGAGCAGGCTGCAGGATCATGGGAAAGTAGGGCAGAAAGGAACCTCACAATTTTCTAATGGAATGTACTTGCCTGTGCAGACATTTTTTTCATAGATTAAACTAGTTATTGTGAGATTTCAGTCCTAATTAGGCCACCGAACAAATTGTTCTTTGGTGGCAGAGATAACAGTAGAGTCTTGTACTACTGATTATCAAATACTAGAGGTATGCTTCAAAGTAGACATCCAAGCCTCAAACGTATGCTGTGGTCAAGGTTTGAATATGATGTGCCTCATATCTTGGCAGTGTAAGAGTGATGTTGTAGCCATGATGGTCTAGAAATTATGCGAGAGGCAAAGATTTCTTTAGGGTGATGTATTTTATTGGGCCAGATATGTAGTTGGGATAGAGTTAAGCAAACTGAGGAAGAATGCCTTACATTTGAAAGCTTGTCTAACTTTATTCCAACTGTGTAGTTGGTCCAATAAAAGAGATCACACTAAGAAGTCCTTGCCTCTCTCGTATCTTGCTATCCCATTCACAAGATTTTAACTTTTTCCAAATTGAAACTAAGAAAGCCTGCGTAAGCAATATTCTAGATTCAGCTGAGAACTCATACTTTTACAGCAAGATTGGGATTCTGACGGTATGGACACATGCTATGTTTGTAGTGCTACTAAGACCCTAGTGCTAGCAAAAAGTGAGTATGCGGACATTCATTCCATTTGTAGCATCACAACAATAGTGGATCTGCCACAAAAATGTTCCAGCTGTCTTTGTGGGGGGGCTGCAAAGAAGTAACCCCTATCATGCTCTGGCTGGAGAGTGAACCTTTGCAAAAACTTTGTAGCTCTCTAGCCATGGGGCTGAGCTGTGTGAACACCCCCTTTAGTACTACAAATGACCATGTGTTCATAACCCCAGTTTCAATTTAATCTCCATGTTAGTTTCTACTCTAAAATTTGACAAAGTTTATAGTCCATCCCTTGCTTTTGTTCCCTGTATTTCAGGGTAACATGTGGGCAGTAGTGTAACAAGGGGCGGGTGAGCAGGTGTGAGGAGATACAAGATTGAGGGCCACCATTGCTGCCAGTCTACATCCACTGCCCCAGCCACTGTAGCTGCCCAGGGTACAGAAACTGCTTATTATGTCTCTGCTTTTGGATGGATTTTTTGAAGAGAAGAGCAGCCCCTGTTTTCATATACAAAGCAGCCATTATGTGGTCATCTACTATATAGTGACTCTACACCAGGGGTGGGCAAAATATGGCCCGGGGGCCAGATGTGGCCCACCAGACCATTCTATCCGGCCCACGGGGCCCCTAAAATTTTAGAAAATTTATATTAATCTGCCCTGGGCTGCCTGTCATGTGGCCCTCAATGGCTTGCCAAAACTTGGTAAGTGGCCCTCTGCCCAAAATAATTGCCTGCCACTGCTCTACGCTATATAGTAGTTAGGTGGACATAGTTACCCAACTGCAACCATAGCTTGTTCATTGGAAGAGCTGTGTCTGTGTGTGTATCATAAACTGCACTTCGACATGCTTCCCAAAATTTTCTTGAAAGAGTGATGGTACCTGTTGCCTTCCAGCTACTCTCACTGGACAAGGCACTGCTTTAATCTACGTAGAATAACATTGATGCTTCTGAAGTGAACTTGGGTTCATGAAAGCTTGTGCTCTATACAAGTGTCTTATTTAGTTAGTCCATAAAAGTGAATATCTACCCTGCCTTCTCATTGGTACTCCTGACATGCAGTAAGATATCTGTACTTCCTTGAGTTAAAAATGTAAGTCTTTGTCTTGTTGGTGAAGTGTTTGCAGTGGTCTTGGTTTTTGTTTGTCTTTCTAATTTCCTTTGATTCTTTTGTTTCTGATGATGACTAGTAAAGAAGACCTTGTATGTCCCCCTGATCCTGAATCATCAGCTAAAATTGCAGCAGAAACAGCTGTTCATGATGATTTTGCTACCCGCAAAGCCACAGCTTACAAAAAGGCTTCTAGCCCTAAGCAGAGGTTTGTGCACTTTGGGCCAGTGACTGAGATTGATCAACAGAAATGGGAGAAGCTCAGCATTGCTAGAGCTGCAGCCAGTGATGAAACAGAAGAGGAAACTGGGAGGGAAAGTGCTAGAACTGAGATTTGCACTGAATCATCTCCATCAGCTACAGTCTGCAACCAGAAGTCCATTGGACATACTGCTGAAGTATCTAGGCCACAAAATGATCCCAGGTATTTTGTGTTATTTAGGAAACAGATTACTGAGTGTGAGATGAAGCCTCTAATCACAGGATGCTGACTTGCATGGGGTACATTGCAGAATGTAGTTAAGAGCTATCTATGCAAATCATCTTGTTCAGAATTTATCTGATGCCTTCATAGTATCTAAGAGAGTTAAGATCATGCATAGCAATGTTGTGCAAGTTTATTTTGAAAACTCACACTGGAATTTCTGATTAGTAGTTGAATCACTAGTTCCACTGCGTATCTTAGCTGTTAGCCAATCTTCTGTTTTCTTGCATTCCATGAGCTTTGCATAGTATGGTACTTGTGCATCTGAAGTCATAGAGCAACTCTCGCCTAGGTTTCTGGCAATACGGATTATTTTTCTTTTTCTCTTGAAGACTGCCAGTTAAATTATTTTCATTTCAGAAATCTTTTGAAGCATGCATAGTAAAAATCAAGCTGTACTGATACTCAGACCTTTGTTTGTTTGTTTGTTTCTGGCATTAAACTAGAAAAGACTTATAATGTTGATAAATCAGAAGTATTGACCAGAACTTACATTTTGCTTTATTTTTGCCTTTAGATTATCTAACCCTTGAGTCTGTTGTCATAGCAACTGTTGCTAGTTGATATAATTAGCAAATTATTCAGCTATGTTTAGACATTTGTAAATGTTTGGAAAAAGATATCAAAACAAAATGCATCTCTCTCTCTACCTCTTTCTTCTGTTTCATTTTATCTGATAATGTTTTTATTGTTCCTCTTCCCCCTACTCTCAATCTCATTTTTACTAGTGAGGTAGCAAAGTCAGGTACAGATGAATATTGCAGCGGAACCCCGTCATCTGTCTCAGCTGCTTGTGTCGTCCCTCAGAAGCAAACTCTATGCAGATTGAGTGAAAGGCATGAAAGCAATGAGGAAGAGCTTGATGGGAGTTTGCCAGAAACTGAGAGAGATGATATGATGGTTAGAAGGATGGGAGCTTTTCAGAGGCATTCTAGGCCAATTCATATGCATAGTCTTCCCACATCAGTGGGTCATCACTCGCTGCAGCAGCAAAAGGAGGTAGCTCATAAGAAAGATTTGAAGACTCTGCAGAAAGCAGAAAGGTCAGAGAATGAAAGCCAGCAACTGTGAGCTTTGCGCCTGCTTTGTGTGTAGTGCTAAGTGGGTCACTCTGTAACATCGCCTTACTTAAAAACAAAAAAAAAGCCTAAAAGATGCATTTTACTCATTCTAATATTCAAGCAGCATGTGTTCAGTTCATGAAATTACTTACCAGAGTGTATCTTATGACCATGAAACAGCTTGTTTCTTTCATGATACATAAGAATCTTGACTTGCTAATTGCCATTTAGCATGAACATGGTCTTCCATCTCTGGGGGGGGGTGGGTTTGCAGTCCATATCTTTCCTCCATATTTTATGCAGGCTTCTGAATGAGTAATTACTTGCATACAAGTAAAGTCTGCATAAAAATATAACCCCTTGCCTGCTTAAAAGTACAACATGTATTGTGCTATTCAACATAGAAGCCTCTTGTACGCAGTTCCTGTTCTGCTGCTGCTACAGATGTTAGTTTTCCATCATTTTTTAATTGTTTTCTAAATAATAGTGCCCAAAATTGCCTCAGCAGCAGTTTGCCCTTGAATTACACAACTGAACATTGTCATGGAACACTTTCACCTGTCTCTATGGGCTGTACTGTAACAAGAGAAGAGAGCCATGTGAAGCTGAAATATCATGATCCTATTAGTGGTGGAACAGAACACAAAGTGAAATTTCCAGACCCCGAGAAAGATGACATGATGGCCAGAAGAACAGGGGCTTTTCTAAAGCATACTGGACCGAGTGCTAACCAGTTCCTTCCAGTTCCATTTTCAAAGCAACAGAATAGCCAGGGCACAACTAAGGAAACTGTAAAGACTGAAAAGAAAGTGAAGAGGTAAGTAAGTCCATTCTCTACTGCTAGTTTCTTTCCTCCTTGTACTTGCACGTTGGAGGTAGGTCTCACAGTTGGCTGACACATGTTTATCATATGATTTCCCCAGGTTCATTAGATAGGATTTATTAGAAAAAGAAAAGAAATGGAAAGAACTGAAAGCCTTTTAGGTTAGCTCCCTTTGCCTGAAAACTTACCTTATAGGTTGACTGTTCTTATACTTACCCAGTGTCCTTGAATTTTCCTTGAAAGCAACTGGAACTGTCTGTCAGGTCCAGTGTGGTGATTGTTGTAATCTAGGAGTGTAGTATAGGTCAGGGCTGTCCAACTGGTGGCCTTTAGGCTGCATGCAGCCCACAAGGTGTTAACTAGTGGTTCCTCCAGGTTCTTCCTTCCCCTCCTTCTCCCCCCCCCTCCCATCACTACAGGTGCAACGGTAGCTGAGGTCTCTGGGCTGCACTTCCCTTCCTCAAGTTTCTTCCTCCGAAGCTGTACAGCGCAGTGAAACCCTTGGTGCTGGCAGAGCCTGTGGCCCAGTTTGCTTGCACAGTGCAGTGCAGCAGGGCACGCATGCAGTATTTAGGGGGCAGGGGAGCCCACATAGTGTGCAGGGGAGCTGTTGTGCAGTGCGCGGGGTGTGGCAGGCTGTAGCTTTTATTGGTGTGCCAGCACAGTGTTAAGCCCCTGGCTGCCTAGGAGTTGGATGGCCCTGGTATAAATTGTTTGGAAATAACAGTCTAATGATGGCCATCATTTGGAACTGGAACACTAGAATCTGGGGAATTAAGAGATTAAAAATAATAATTAATAAGCATTTCTCAACCTCAGCTCTCTCCCTGGTAAGGCAAGACCTCTCCTGACTCCAGGTGGGCTAGCTGGTTTATCTGCTTTGGAATTTTCTTGGGGTTTTGACTGGCTCTTGGAAGCAAATGTTATTTTTCCCGTGCTTGTTGCTGTAATGCTGGAGTTGTCTGGATCTTTGGAATTTCAGAGCAGTGCAATCTCCCCCTGGGGGGGAGACAACTTTCCAGGGATTCCCTGAGTATCTCTCCCCTTGCTCCCCTTAGCTTCCAAACTTTTGCCCTCTTCCGTAAAGTCAAACAGCACCATCCTTAGTTAACTACATACGGGTTGCACATCCCTGGCTTGTTACCGGTCCAGTACACTGCTTGTCTAACCTACCCCATGCAGTAGTTTCTCTCTCTAAAAGGGACTACTAGTTTTTTCTGTTCCTATCCTGGTTCCAAGCTTGCTGGGCAAGGAGTCAGGAGGCTCTGTAGTAGCCGTTTTAGTGATGGCCTTTTTGGTAGAGAAACTAGAGGTACAGGCAAGGATTTTAAAAACCAGGTGGACAAGTGAGGTGGGGGGGGAGTTGGAAAGGCTGTGGGTAGAGTTAGGGGGTTCAGTAATAGTTGTCTCCAGTTAAATTACAATTAATTACTTAAGCCCATTTTGGGAAAGTTTTTTTAGGTGCTAGGGAATTGGGAAAGAGATTACTGTGCCCACTGATTAGGGAAGGATAGATAATAAATGAGATGGCTTGGTATCAGGTACCAAAGAGAAGAGGTTCTAGGGTTGGCTCTCCTGTAATCGGGATTGAAGCCTAATCAAGTTTGGAGAAGTGGCTCCAGATGGGCAAGTCTATATAGAAAGGATGGAGACTGGACGGTAGTTTTTTTTCTGCTGCCTAATCAAGTGTGACCCAAAACTGAATTTTGAAGGGATTTGCAGTTCAGCTCCTGGGCAGTGGTAAAAAAAGTAGAGCTTGCACATGAAAAAGGAAGGATAAGTATACAAGAGAAGAAAAAAATCACTGCATCAGTAGATGGATCCCATTTCCCAAGTTCTGTCCCCATGTACTGCAAACTTTGTTAGGAGAAGAAAAGTTTGTTGCCAGGAGGGGGGCGAGTGGGGTGGCTGCACTGGTGTGCCAAACGCAGCACACTATGCAGTCCTTCCATGCAACTGGAGCCCCAGGGCTGGGAGGAGATGCTGGGAGCTGGGCAGGGAGCAGGTACATGAAGGATTAGCAGCCCTTTCCTGCACCTGCTCCTTGCCTTGCCCTCCACACCCAGGGTCCCCCTCTGGCCCCAAGGCTCCACTTGCACCTCACCCTCATTCTCTACCATAGTCTGAGGGGTAGCATGCTTCATCTTGCTTTACAAAATCCTAGATCTGCCCCTGCTGTTTGCAGTGGGACTGTGTAGTGGTTTGAGACCAGAAGAACTGAAGCTAAAATAGATTACATCTTCTGGCTAGAGCAGAAGAACTGAAAAAGAAACAATTAAATATCTAAATTGAATTGTTTATGCCCTTAACTCCTTAGTTTGCAGATGTGTACCTACTTGTTACTTTCTAGTCCGACACATGCAAAATACAGCCTGTGGGCCATTCTGTCTGGCCCACAGGGCCCCTCTGAAAAACAATTATTATAAGCCTGCGGCTTCCTCTCTGAAAGCTGGCAGGAAGCAGGCTGGGAGTGGGTATGGCCCCCACCACCATGGAATACACCACCTGCAGTAGTGGGAGCTCCATGTGCTGGCACAGAGCCAACCTGGTCTGGCTTAAAGGTGTGTGCCAGCCAGCCAGGCCAGCTTGGTGCCACCACATGCAGCTTCCAGGATTCAGCCAGAGCCATGTGCTGCCAAGGAGCTGTGCCTGTCGCAGGCCAGGAGTGCTCCGAGGGCCTGTTGCTCCCGCCAGCAACAAGGACTGTGTGCATGGGGAGGGGCATGTGATGGGGGGCCCACACCTACCCATACACACCCTCATACCTACCCTCGCCCCCCACTCCTGAGCACCCCAGATCCTTACTCATTGCCCTTCTTACTTGTGGCTGCTGGCACTGTCTGTCCTGGGGAAGCAGGCAGGGAAAG